GCAAAAACACTCAGATTGTGGCAGAATACATAAATTGTCATAGCTGAAGGACTGGATACAAGGAATTCTCTAAGTTCTGTTCAATCTGCTAAATTCTGTTCAATCTGTCATAATGACATCAGCACAGTTGATAGAAATACACCACACATGACCAAGAGAAAAAAATATGCTGGTTAAATAAATAAATAAATAAATAAATAAATAAATACTCTGCTCTTCCACAGTGCTACAAGGAGTAGCAAAAAGCTGCTCACTCTCACAATGTTGTTGCCCTTCAATTTTTTCCTAGACTTCCAGCTAAGATGTGCACCATTTTCCGTACTTGAGTAGAGTATAATTCTTTTGTACAGTGTTGTGGGAAGAACTCAACTGGTGACATCCAGTCTGACCTAAGGCACATTTCACCACATCTCAGTTTTGTCCATCAGTCACTTATGTGGGAGTGGGATCTTTGTTATTGTAAATACACATGAGCTTCCTCCACCAATAATTTTTATTTATATTTTAAATAATGACTTTCTACTACATACCAATTTATTTCCCTTTCATAACAAGGACCCAGAAGGCAGATATTGAAATCGAAACAAGTTGCTTTTTCATTCCTTTTTTGTTTCTTACCGTTTGTGTCTTATTTCTTTTGCCCTCCAACGCCTTTCTTCCTCCTCTTGCTTCCTCCTTCCCTTTTCTGTTTCTAATTGGCCCCTCTAGGAACAAACTTCTGAAAAACAAACTACCAAGACATTTGAACAATAAACCAGGCAGTTGAGAGACTGGCAAGTAGACTAAGGCCATCTGAAGTACAGCTGGACCAGATCAGATACTTTGACTCTGTTGTTTTATATGACTGGGTTCAATACCATTGGCATCTCATGTCACATGGCCCCTGCTAACACAATGCTTGTTGTGCAGTTTTGAAGGGTTATCCTTTAATTTTGAAGCTACACCCGCCACCCCTACACAGAATGGTGTTTCATGTCAAGAAAAAATGGTTTGGCTCTTTTTCTTATTTACATAAAGGACAGCAGAAACATTCGACTAGATTAAGATTCCAGGCACCTGAGTTTTCCTTTTTGATTCTAAAATTTGCCTGGATCTGTGCTGCATTTGGAATCATAGATGTATGGTCCGGGGAGGAGCCAAGCTTATTCCGCAGCAGAAAAAAACAATCTGGCTCCTGTAAGGTATGTCTGTATGCACCCAAAGATGGATGATGCATGAGTGCAATGGAAGAAATACATTACAATTATAAGAAGCATTTAATAACGGAGGCAGAATTGTGCTTGAGGTGATGCGAGTTGAAACCAAAACTCCATCTCTGATGCTGGATCTCTGGTGGTTGTGTTACGCATCCAACTCATGACTTCACATTGCAGTTACAGAGTGATAAACTCAAACAAGGCTCGCTCTGTCAAGTGTTCACTGCAATTTCAGAGTATGTCATCAGGCTGGTATTGCAGTGGCAACTATGGCAACACTATTCTGTCATAGGTGGCAAAATATTTAAGACTATGCAGTATATCAAGGATTCTGAGCATTCCCCCTTATACTCACATTCATATTATCAGACTTCTGACTTCAGTGCACAGAGAATATTTTACTCCCTTCTCTCTATTTCGATCCCATATCACTGTATGTCTCACCTGCACAGTGTCTATGATTATGATGCTGGAGAAAGACTACTTTAGCATCTCATGACAGGAGCATCTGAACACACCTCTGCCTTCAGATTTGTTTGTTTACACAATCCAAAGGCCATCCCATGAGATGTCATGAAATTGAAAGGGAAGGGCTTTTGACTCATTCTGCTATTCAAAACTAGTTATGCAGTTTGTAGAAAGGAATGCTGATACTGTTATGTATTCAAAAACAATATTTCAGGAACTATTTGGGGCAGAATGAGAGGAGAACTATAATAACAAGGTGATGAGGTGGTCTTAGGCATGTCGTTATTTTCTCAGCTTCTGCCTGTTTCCCCAATCTGCAATATAATACTGTAATAGTGCTGGCAATAAAGAGTTGTTGTAAGGCTATGTGAAGACTTTGAGCACTTGAAGTGAGTTACAAATATCAAGTATTATTTCTGAGTAGACATTATAAACATTTGACATGTGTTAAAACATAAAAAGTATGTGTACTACATCCATAGCAGATCTTAAAAAAACATACAGGTTAAACACAGACTGATAGAAACATCAGAGATGACGACAAGCACAGTACACAGTCATGTACAGAAATGATACACATTTATACCTATATTCCATCCTACGTCAAGAACTCATTTATTAGGAGATAGTACAGCTTGGACAATTTTGAATGTGAATTCCCTACAAATATATAAATTCTTGTAACATGTATGCACACAAACAAATTATACAAATGTTACAGACACTATAAAACATATATTTTCTTAGATGGACTTTTTCGTATCTGATGGAGTCACAAATTAGTTACACTTTGCGGTTTACTGGTGCTGGCCATGCCACTACCCATGCCTTGTTGCAAGCACTTTAAAGTAGTAGTAACAGATCATTCTATGAAATATTAAGTTTTCAATGCAAGCCATTAGTAATGGACAAAAGTAACACTTCTTTAGATGTGCTTTGAGTGCTTTCTTTTGTAAAATACAGGATTTTTTTTTGGGGGGGGGGAGAGTCCTAATGGGACTTGTTAATTGGATCCCACCAGTTATTTCCTGCATCAGCTATTATGCACTACTTGCCTTTTCTCCTTCCATGACATGCTGCATGTCATCCCCAAAATTATATGCCTCTTATGAAGTCCTTAAAGATTTCTAAATGTTAATATCATTTGGCTTACTTAAAATAAAAAATAGGGCAAACAATTATACAGCTTAATGCATTTTCACACTTCAATACGTCATTTATCTTGGATGTAAACAAAAGTGAGACTATGTTGCAAAACTGAAACCACAGTTTTAATTGCTATAACGAGATTTGGTTTCGATTGTATAAACCATGAGGTTTGTATGGCCTCATAAAAAGAAGTTCAACATTATTAGGTTAAGTAGGCAAGGCTGTGATCCTCTTCCAACCTGTTTTCTAGGGAAAGCTTAGTTTAAACCAACCTAAGCACTTTATAACAACCCTCTATCTGTTTATTATTATTATTTTAGCTTATGCATATTACAACACCACAACTGCAATCCAGAGGTCCACAAGTGGCAGAATAAGAAATGTGATTGGTTGTGTAAGACTGTGCACAAGCTATGGGCATACTAAACAGGTCACCACACAAGGAACAGACTCTTCAGGATGCAGCTGGATTTTTCTTGCACAAGGAAAATAGCAGCTCTTCATATTTCTGCATGCAGAAGATAGTCACAGGTAAGGCTTTGTAACGCTTTTAATCAAAAACATATTTGAGAAGAAATGTTAACAGTGAACAAAGATACATCCATGTATTGTTGTGGCACGTATGTCTCCTTTACAATTTTCTACCTATTCGGTTAGTTAAAAGCAACCATCCATTCCTCAGTCTCTTTCACTGTCTGGAAGCCTGGCAAAAAGTTCTGATGTGATGGTAGCACCTATTTTCTTTGTGCATGTTAAAGATCAGAGGCACCGATGAAATGTCCAATTACCTTGTTAGATCTCTGTTCTTGCCCCGTTTCAGTGGGACTTAATCAGTAGAGGGTCACAGCTGATTAAATCCCAGAGCAACGTTACTCACCAACGTAAATAAGAGACAGTTTAGAATATTAACAGGCATTTCTTCTGAAATGACTCCAGGAATCTTAACTGTTCTCTTATATGAATAATCTATTGAAAATAAAAATATTACTGCAGCATAGGATCAGGCACCCAGTTAGGTGGTTGTACTTGCCTCACCCTCTTTCTATTGCTTAGACTTTAAAAAAATGATATTTGTTTATTCATTGGTAAAACAGGCTAGAGCAGAAGAAACCAACCATTCAATTACCCTTTAAAATAATAAAAGGACCACAAAACTTGTCAGCACTCCTATTTTCCTTGAAGGATAAAAATAAAAAATACAAACAAGAAATTTAAGTTAACAGTGCTACATCTATGGCAATTTCACATGTTTCGTTGCAATTGCTATTAAGAAGACATACAGTCCAGAAACTCATGACATATACACTGGCAAAAGCCATAAACCATGAGAATAACAAGACTCGAGGGAACAAGACTGACAAAGACTACCCCAAGGGTGACTTTCTTTGATACCAGTAAGTAGATCCCTAAAGGCAAGGAACTAAAATATAGCAAGCCTAGCAACCAAACTAGGACTCGAATTGAAGTCTGGAAGAGCAAGGATGTACAGTTCCACACCGTCCAGTGATGAGGCACAGATGCAACAGAGTCAAAGCTTGTGGGCCTGTAGAATTCCACAACAGGGGTTGAGTTCAGGGTTGGAGGGCTCTCTCTCTGAACCTCCATGATAGTTATAACCAGACAGTTGGAGGAAGTGTGAGAGGGGCTAACGAGAGAGGCCAGCCTTTTGGGAGTCAGCAGGAGTTCTGTGGGATTGTCTGGTAGGCACTTCTTCACCTTGCCTCCATAAGCCAAATTTACAAGGATATTGTTGTCATCAGGAAGACTACTGACCTCATCATCGGGCAGGCATGTTTCAAACCGACAGAATGGGCAAACAATGACTCCCTGAGGAGAATCCCCAAAATCTATGATCTTGCAAAGACATTTGGCACATACTCTGTGGCAACACTCCAGTACTTTAGGTTTTCTCTGTCTCAAGTTATAGCGGTTGTAACAGATTTTGCATTCAAGCTCATCTGAGCCCTGGGACTCCACAGTATCTTCTGGAAGTAGGCTGGTCATTTCTTTTCAATGTGCTTTAGACTTGTGGTTGTTGCTTTGTCTTTATTTCTTTGTGAAAAGAAAGATGTTTAGAGTTCCTTTCAGATTACCACAGTACTCAAATCAATCAGGGATGGGCGGAGTACCAACAGTCATAATTTTCAACCTCTTACAAGGACTATCTGCTTTTTTCTTCAGTGTCTTTCATATACATAGCTTCCATATAATATATAGTTTCTGTAAAGGGGAAGAAAAATAAACACATGAATTCAATTAAAGATGTTCCATTTTATATTTTAGCTACTTATTTTTCAAGGTTTTGCTCTTTCAGTCTCATAACAACTTTCAGAGTAAGGTTAGGCTGAGAAGAGGTGACTAGATCAAGGTAACCAGTTAGTTGTCCCAAGGCTGAGTAGGTATTTCTACCCATGTCTCCCTAGTTGTTGTTGTTGCTATTATTTGATTTCTGTTTAAAGACTGCTTAGAAAAAGGCAATGGAGCTGAGGTGGGTAAATGAAAGCAAGCAAACATAGGGTTGTATCCAGCAAACTTAACTGTTCATGCAAATACTTCTGCTTGTGCAATGGAACTTCTTCTTCTCCCCCCTGCACACCACCCTCCAATATTCTTCTGCAGTTTTTCCAAACTCTCTGGAGCAGATTGAGGGATGGAATGCGTGTGGAGGTGTGAAAGAAGTCCTGTTGCACAAACATGTATTGTGCAAATGGGATGCAACCCATGGGCACAAATTCTTAAAGTCATAGAGGAGATTTTTTTTTAAAAAAACCTATGGTATATGAGTTAAAAATATTCATTTAATAGTTTCATATATATTCACATATTTATATATAATATTTACATAATATGGCGCTTATAATTCTAGGTGATAAGCAAATAACTAAGATAATATCAATGATCAGCAGCTCAATCAATTGTGAAAAAGGAAAGCAAAGAATCTAAATCAGTTTAAATTAAGTTAAACCAAACATGATTGACAATTATCTTGAAATTTCAAGTTCTAGTAACTTATAAACAAACTACTTACTTTGATAAATTTCTTAGCACATCATTTCTTAAACCTTTTATAATATGTTAACTTACTGAAAATAACTATATTCCAGATTTTCATATACCACTACATTATATATGGTCTATTAGATTTCCAATTACCCAGTATTACTAGTTTCATTGCTATTAATAACGTTGTATGAGTTCTAGGTCTACATCATTAACAGTTCCTTGTGAACAACCAAGTAACATTTGCTTTGGATTTAATGCTATATTCTTCCCAATTATATCATTTATTATATTTAAGATCTCCAGAAGGGCTTTACTTGTGCACCATTCTAAAATATGTGCATCATATCTGTTCTGAAATCTCCAACATGTATCCTGCTGAAAATTACAACTTTTAAAAAATAAAAAAGAGTAAGTGCCTAATGCCATCAGTACTGTATTTTGCAATCTAAGTCTTACCACAGACCCTGAATGGATATGGGGCCGGGACTAAAGAACAACTTTAGAAGATTCCTCATGTGGGCAGCCACTTCTTTAGATGATATCCCAGTCTCATTGCTATCTGCAAAACAAAACAATTCATTTACAATAGGTTCTTTCATCTAGAGCTGCGTCTTGTAATATGTGTGTCTGTGGCAGACCAGCACATGGGTCAGTTGGAGCTGTGGAATTGACAACCATATCAGGCACCCTGGACTACATGCTCCCCTCCCCTTTCTGACCCATTACATTTTCCACTCTCTTGATGTGACATGGATTCAGGCAGTCTGACTATATAAATTGCAATAAACAAATTCATAAATTTGGAAGCTCCCCAAGGTACAGTAAGTGCAGGACAGGAGTCATTCTCTAACTTCCATGGCTGTTTCTCTTATGCCTGGCAGAAAACCCTGTTGTTTAAGATAGCAGAACCAGTCATTTTCACTAAGTGCCAAAAAGTATATTCTTCCAGCACAGAATCACCTCATAACCAATAACCCCTTCTTTCACATGAGTTTGCTGAGAACGAAGTGCATTTAAGAGCTGGATTTAAATAGTAAGATGGAAATTTTGGATAATTTTTTTGTAAGCTGCCTTGGGAGGCCTATCCTGAAACGAAGAGTATAAGTACTTTAAATAAACACACATACATATATCCCATACATATGTGCCATGCTGCTAAACCATACCCTGCAAATGTCCTGGAAAAAATGGGACATCCAAATTTTTATTGCGAGAGAACGGTGGCCATCTTGCTCAATTTTGCACTGTGACCCCCCCCCAAAAAAAGCACGGGGCGGGGGGCTGCAATCTTGCATGGCACTCCAAAATGTGTGGTTTTTTGGTGCCATGACTAAAAAAAGCCCCTTTTCAGGGAGAAATCGTGCAACATCTATTGTGTCAGTAATAACCTCTGGACACAATTATCTTGATGTTCACCTACATCTTCAACTCTGTAATCAGAAGCACCATTGACAATTGAAACAGTCACGGGACTACATTTAAGTTAGGACTATCACCCAATTAAAGAAATCTTAGTTGATGGTTTCAAATGTCTATTTGATTAATTGACTAAATTTGTACAAATTAACAAATGGTTCTAAACAAAAAAAGGGGGGAACCCTCTGTTTTTAGATGATACACACCTCCTTAGTCCAAGCCTATAAAAAGCAAAGTCTGATATGTTTGGGGCACATGGAGATTGCTGCATTCATGTTCAAAAGTCTTATCTGATTCAGAAGAAAAAAACCACACTGTGTTGCTAACTTTTAAAGCTGCTTTACTCATCCTGATGCTTGTATATACACATTCCTAGCAGCAAGTGCTTGCTCAACCTGTTTCATGCCACATTTTCTGCTAGCTTTAGTCAGCTTTCAACAATAGGCATTTCCCTGTCAGTTTTAATCAATGTGTTACATTGCACTAAAGTTACAGGACATGGCATATTGATCTGCTTTTGGTTCATAGTCAGAAGGAAAATGGCCTTATACATTCTTCGCATGATAAACAGATTCTTACTGGCAGAAAACAATAAAGGTTTTTTTTAATGCCTTCAATAGAGCACCCAAAATATAATGCACATGGAAGAATGCAGCATCAGCAGTGTGTGCAGCAGAAGTGTTACATTTGATTACTGTGTCAAAAATACTTAATATTGCTAGGTTACTGAAATATTAAAACAAATCTGATGGGGCCTGAACTGGCAGAACACACCATTTTCTATGGTCTATGGTGCATGGATAACAAGTTTGGTGATATGGTCAGCAATGCCTTTGCTTTCCCTTACCCAATGGATCAAACTATTGCTATTAACACCACTCTGGGCAATATTAAGTGCATTGAAACTGACATTTCATGATACATAAATATATTTTGGTTAATTGTCCTTATGTCAATAAAATAAATGTGTATGTTACAAAAATTCCAATCAACATGACTTTCTGATGGTCTTGTCAGAAATGGGCAGTTTCTCATAAGGGTAAAATTAACCTGAAGTTCACTAAACAAAAGCTACACCTTATACATCATTGATATAGCCTTTTTCATCAAATCTGGGAACCTGAAATATTATTTATAACATAAAAATACTCAAGATGAAGGAAGAGCCATATATAAATTATATAAAAAGAAGAGTAAGGAACACCCCCTCCTCAGTCAAAGGAAGTCCTCTTCACCTTCCAGCTTCTCAGATATAATTAGCACTTCTGAGTTCAAGAAAGCATCTTCTTACAACTTTGTCACTAGTCCCTCACTGAGGTGTGTGTTTGGGTCCAACATTATCCCAACACGAAAAGAAATAGGCATATTTGTATCACTGTACCTTTGCAAGCATTCAGTACCCTCCACCTTTCTCTGATGAAAATAGGAACGTCCTATTCCATGATGATAATAATAATTTTATTAATTATACCCTGCCCAGGGCTGCCTTCAGATATCTTCTAAAGGTTCTATAGTTACTTATCTCCTTGACTCAGGGGTCACATAACTCAATTACCTCCAACTTTTCTTCAATGAAAATACGAAGGTCCTACCAGACACTCCAACATTTATGTGATAAAAATAGGGATATCCTAAGGAAAAGCAGGACATTCCAGGATCAAATCAGAAACCAGGGTGGCTTCTGTAAATCCAGTACTGAGCCTGGAAAATAGGGACACTTGGAGGGTCTGCAGTTCTCAGCCAATAAAATTCATTGGCAAGATTAAAAACGTGTCATGTTTCAAATAGCAATCCAAATTATACTATATAATGATTTTCAAGGTTTGAAGGAGATATGTTGCATGAAGGTTTGAACTATTAATTCAATTTAGTTTACTTCAACCATTTCTAAATCCCCCCCCCCCCCATGGCTATACCAGCATACCTGTTCAGGAATGACATTTGTTTAAATGAATGTGTATAATTCCAGGTTCACAACAGACATAGGGTATAGTCTGCACTCTACTGAAGCCAATGGCAAAGCTCCCATTGATTTTATTTTCATGCTAATTCAGATACAGATTATGAATATATGGTTTACAACTAGACTTGAATACTGAATGCTGACAAAGCTTGTAGTACACAAACTGTGGCCTACAATCGTGTGCGGAAATAAGATAAAGCAGTAATTGGTTTGCATGAGACACACAAAAACATGAAAACTAATTAGAAAAATGTTTTATTTGCTTGTGCAGTCATAATCTACCATTACCTCAAACGTGCAGTGTAGCCTCTGGCAACAGACATTTATATCAAATAGGGCCTACCTAGTAAATGAACACTTTCTTAAAATTGGGATCAGATGCAAGTACTTTCTGAGAACAATTATAATTCATCACAAATTATTAGCTGATAAAGCTAAGATGGTAAAATAAAGTGCTGCATCACTAATCCTAGGATTGCTGGAGTGTTGCCGTGCTCAAATTAATGCTGTGGTGGGATTTTTCAGGCTTCAGGAGAATTTAAACTTCATTGCTTAGACTGAACATATTCTGCAGTACAGAAATGTGATGGTCTTGTTCAGTAGGAAAGGAACACTGACTGCAATTGTAAACTCAGACTATTCTTTTGACTCTAGCAAACATGCTTTGATATTAGACAATGGACTCCTTAGTTCAACCGAAGGCCAGGTTCCTCTCAGGATTAATTTTTATATATAGTGCCAAGGAACCCGGTGATTCCACTAGCCAAGCCAAAATGTATCTTTGACTAGAATGTGATTGTCTGAATGCCCCCAAATAGGGGTAGATGAACCAGCACCAACATAAGCACCTCACTTAAGCATCTATTGCAGATATAATACACTGTAGAAAAGGCAGAGCTGGCCTAGCCATTCGGTGAGACCACCACTGCATCCGGTGGTAGAACACCCCCACACACACATGCCCTGCTGCTGCTGACATAGTTACTAGTTTTGGGCAAGATCACATCCATTTTGGGTGAGATCTTGCTCAAAATAGGTGCCAATGATGGCAGCATGTAGCAGGGGGCAGCAGAGCAGGTGGTGGCAGGAGCAGGTAGGTGGTGGCAGGAGCTTCAATTTCACCCCAAGTGTAGAATGGGACATGCCACCCCTGAGAAAGGGGCAACCACAATGACCAAGGGGCTGGAACAGGTTGCAACATCTGGTGCTTTTAAGGTTTAGGATAAAGGGAAAACAAGAGAGTCAGGAAAGAGGTGTTTGAATGGATGGATAAGTTTTTTTTGCGCTTTCTCATGACTCAGAATGAAAATTCAGAACAGACAAAAGGAAGTATTTCTTCACTCAGCTCACAGTTAAACATAGTTGCCTGAGCTCTGTGAGTGCAGTTTTCTCCCGATTGAAGCACAGTGTTTGAGGACTGAGACATTCGCAGGGAAACCAAAATGCTCATTTACAAAGCTATTGTACCACCAACTTTACTGTACACTTGTGAAACATGGACCATTTATATAAACACCATCTCCAACTCCTCAGAAGATACCATCAATGGTGTCTCCAAATAATTTTACATATCCCTTGGGAAGACAGGCAAACTAATGTCAGTGTACTGGAAGAAGCAAAGATCACCAGTGTTAAAGCAATGATTCTTCAACATCAACTTCGTTGGACGGGCCATGTTGTTCAGATGCCTGATTTTCAACTTCCAAAACAACTACTCTATTCTCAATTTAAGATGGGAAGCAAAATACCAGTGGACAACAAAGGAGGTTTAAAGACGCTCTCAAGGCAAATCTTTAAAAATGCAGTATAAGCACAGGTAATTGGGAAACACTGGCTTGCTAGGGCTGCAACTGGACAATTTGTTGTTGTTTAGTCGTTTAGTCGTGTCCGACTCTTCGTGACCCCATGGACCAGAGCACGCCAGGCACTCCTGTCTTCCACTGCCTCCCGCAGTTTAGTCAAACTCATGCTGGTAGCTTCGAGAACACTATCCAACCATCTCGTCCTCTGTCGTTCCCTTCTCCTTGTGCCCTCCATCTTTCCCAACATCAGGGTCTTTTCCAGGGAGTCTTCTCTTCTCATGAGGTGGCCAAAGTATTGGAGTCTCAGCTTCAGGATCTGTCCTTCCAGTGAGCACTCAGGGCTGATTTCCTTCAGAATGGAGAAAGACATCTACTTCTGCTTCATTGACTATGCAAAAGCCTTTGACTGTGTCGACCACAGCAAACTATGGCAAGTTCTTAAAGAAATGGGAGTGCCTGATCACCTCATCTGTCTCCTGAGAAATCTCTATGTCGGACAAGAAGCTACAGTTAGAACTGGATATGGAACAACTGATTGGTTCAACATTGGGAAAGGAGTACGACAAGGCTGTATATTGTCTCCTGCTTATTTAACTTATATGCAGAATTCATCATGCGAAAGGCTGGGCTGGATGAATCCCTAGCTGGAATTAAGATTGCCGGAAGAAATATCAACAACCTCAGATATGCAGATGACACAACCTTGATGGCAGAAAGTGAGGAGGAATTAAAGAACCTTTTAATGAGGGTGAAAGAGGAGAGCGCAAAATATGGTCTGAAGCTCAACATCAAAAAAACGAAGATCATGAATAGCCTCTACCAAAGGCCTCATGGACTTTGAAGAAGTACGAACTCAGGATGAAAGGGAGAAATGTGCTAAGAGGAAGGGACGCTTGACAAATCCTCACCATAATCAACTCCCACCTGGAAACCTATGTCCCCACTGTGGAAGGATGTGTGGATCCAGAATTGGCCTCCACAGTCACTTACAGACACAGTCACTTAAGACCATATTCATAGAAGACAATCTTACTTGACTATGAGTGAGCAACAAAGAAGAAAGAAGTTAAGCAATGTAATTCCCTTCTGCAATATATGGATGATGGCCGCTAGATTAGATGGCTTTAAACTAAAAAAAAAATTAAAGCATAAACTCCAATTTAAAATGCTGTTAAATGTTGGTCTGCACTCTGTCACTCCATGCTTCATAATATTGTTGTGTGAGTTTGGGGAGTTAGACCGTATGATGCCGGAGTCCCTTCTAATTCCTAAGGTCCTGGATACAGCAAGGGTTAAAATCTAATGTAGGATTCCATTGCTGAATTAGCCAGGCAAGGGTCATAGTTACCACCTAAGTATGATTGTTAGTCTGACAAAGGAAATTGCTCTGTGCCAGAGGGCAAATGGGTGGACCTCTTCCCTCATCTGGCTGGTAGTGAGAAAGATAAAAGTCAGAGTAGTGTGTGAGAGCTGAAAGCTGGGCTAGACACAGACAGAAGCCAGAGAATGAGAGCCACGCTTGATTTCTGCTTGAATCTACAGTTGTGGCTATGGGAGATTGTATATATGTGTAAATAAACCATATACCATAAAGACACCACAGTCTCTGCTGTCCCTCATTCCAAGGAAACTGAACCCTGTGTAAGTGCCTGGAACCTCTGGAATATCCCACCACTCAGAGATTGGGGTGGCATGCAACAATATCAGTATGAAACGGGAAGGACATCCTGCTTATTCCATCAGTGTTCTGCAGAGTTGGATGTGCTATAGAAAATGGTGCTCACTTTCATAATTTGGAGTGAAGCAACACGACAGGCAAGAGATTGGTGAAATCATTATGAATTCTTGAATTGTGGCAGCTGTTTTGGCAAGGCTTCAAGTCTGAAGGACTCTGCAATTCAGTATCATCTAAATGAATCATTTAATACTCCTGTGTTGACATTGTATTGTGCCTGAAAAAGCCATTATTCTACACCCTCAAACACATCTATAAATTCACTATGTGAAATATACAATGATTCCATTTCTATGTGGGGTCTGAAAGGCATCCAACTGATGGCAAACTGCAGCAAGGTTATTGCTGTAATCTTTGGTGTTCACTATTTTATAAGGCTGAATACTGCAAGTTATTTAAAAACAGATATACTAGAAAAACTCCAGACTGTCAGCTGTTCTTAACACCATGGATCAAATTCCAATTAGCTTTTTAAAAAGGGAACTAGCAGCTCATTTCCATAGGAGTGTTGGGCTGAACAGAAAGGCAAGTTATAAAGAAAACCCTGTTCAGGAAGCTAGTTTCACTCTTACAAGGTTATGTGGTACACAGAGTATTCTCTGGCAAAACAGGGAAATCTAATTGAGTCTCAATCATAAAGGACGGAAACCTTTTCTCTGCAAGGAATTGCATCTGCTGAGGCAATTATTTCTGTAGAGCATCCAATTTCTGTAGAGGTCTTTACCCTGAGTAGTCTAGTGGTAACTGGCCTCATAACCTCTTTTGTATAACTGTACAAGTGTAATAGGGCAAGGGTGTAGGAGAGAGAATATCCCATGATTTATATTTGAGATTCAGTTAGGTCTTCGTGTTTTATTGGATAATACTTTCTGCACCACAAGATCCTGTAAGAGTGAAACCATTTTCTTAAGATCCCATAACAGCACATCATGTAGCTCCACACAAACAATTCTTTACAAATAGAGAAATCGATTAGCCATTTCTGCAAGCATCTTCTAGTCTAATCCATTTCACTCCTGTTCACACTTTAAAAAATATTGTTATTTTTATGGTCAGGATTCATTTAACTGTTGAAAACATGGAGCACATACTGACCAAAGAAAAACTGATTTTAGAAATAAAATATTATTCAAATCATAGGAACTAACTCCTAGGGGCCATGGGGTTTTTGGCATCCACAATAAAATGTTTGAGGAGGCCAGGCCCCCACGAAGTTGGTGGGCACTGATGCAGAGTGTGCACTGCATCAAGTTATCGATTATGTGAAGTGGGGCTTACATGGGCCCCCACAATACTTTATTCAAGTTGGCACCCCTGATTAAAATGGTGGGCATTGGGGGGGTGTCACATGGGGACCTTTGTTGATAAGCACCCTTTGTTATATTCTAAAATCAAAAAGCTTTCAAAGCATTTTCAAAACTTTTTTGAACACTGAGGTTAGTGGTTGGGTAATATTTATCTTGTGCACAGTTTATTAACCACGTGTTATATATTTTACATTTCTTGCCCTGGTAGTGGATATTTTGACTCAACCATATACATAGTGATAATTTCTGGCTTTTGAATATAGTACTTGAATGACCAGAATGTGCTCTCTCACTCTCTCTCTTTAATGTCCCATTCCCAAAGCCTGTAATATCATCAAACTTATTTTACCACAATCCTCCCAGAACTATTTGGAATTGAAAGGATTGCAGGCTTAGAATAGGATTTCCTTCAATTTTGCTTCAGTTGATATTGCTCATGTGTAAATAAAATAACACTTTCAAGGCAGAGAAACTGCCTTTCTGAATCAGCATTTTTTTACACTCTTAACCAGTGAACTCAGTCAAAATAAATGCATTAAGGATGTGAAAAAGCAGGAGATTCAGATCTTAGGGAGGCAGGGAAGACAGTGGAAGAGTATTGTTAAACAGTTTCCCAGTTGTAGATTACTATTTTATAGTTGTATAGTGGTGTGTATTTTCTTCTGGCCTCAGGTATCTAAATATACTGTGATATCTATCACATTGTGTGAAATTACATGTCAACCTTGAAATATTATAGGCATACAAGGGTTGAAAGACATGAGATATATTGGCAGATACTTGTGCAAATTTCAGTCTGAAGGCTACATCTCTGATCTTACCAGTAAACATTTATTTTGTATTAAAACTACTTGTGAAAAGCTGTGCACTTCTTCACCCCACCCCATTCCTCCTTCCTGAACAATCCAGTGATTTGTATGTAGATGTCCACTTCTGCCCCAGAATAGACAATTTATATTATCTTCTGTTAAAAATGCACTGAAGGCATAACTTATAATTCATATAAAACATGAGGTGAATGATTTGAAAAAAGCCTTCTTGGCAGTCCCTTCCTAACAGCATTTTACTAACAAGACTGCAGTGACTCACAATCACTGAGATGCAGTAGCCTCTTTCTGTGCATGACTGTGTCACAATGCAAGACTAAATTTAGAGTAAAAAAATGGATATATGTCTAAATTTAGTCTGAACAGTATATATGTATAGTCAAGAACAATATCATATTAAAATGCATTAACAGAAGTGTCAAATATAATCTCTGTAAACATAATATACAAATTTAATAAATATGTAAGAATTTACATTTCTGAATTGGAGGGAGCTACAATATCGTCTAAAGGAATTCCTTATAGTTAACAATCTTTTTAATGGCAGGATTCCTATTCCATTAACAGTTGGGTAACAAACTAACTTCGCTGGAAAAGGTTTTCCTACCACATAGATGCAGTGAGGGGAAAAGCTTGGCCAGTTAAATTTCTACTGGTTACACAACTGTGAAAAGGCAAAGCAGTTCTGCCAGAAAAATGCTGGCAACTCTACCTCTGCTCAAAGGCAGGACTGTTGCCATATCTAATCATCCTATGACATTCAAATGACACTGTAACAAGCAGGTGCACTACAAGAGGTACCTAGAGAACAATACAACAGGATGGCTCATGCAAACATGTAGCCATGGTTCACAAATAGCCAGGGTCAAAGGGAGGACATTGTTTATGATACCATAAAGCACTGCCTCCCAGAGCTTTTGCTCACCCCAAGTATTATATGTTGCTTGCACTTCATTAATCACACACCTACTACTTTGAAACAATTGACAGTGTGGAAGATTAGGTTTCCAAGTGGTTTTGTGGCAAATACCAGCTTTTTTAACCAGCAGTTAGGTAATGCAGCACATCAGTTCTTCCACTGTGCCTCTGGTGGCAATCCTATAGTCATTTACCTGGGATTAAGCACTATTGTGCTCAATGATATACTTCTAAATAGGCATGGATAGGATTGTATTGTCTTTTACAGATGTCGCCCCCAATTCCATTCACTACCTGTCACACAGTGGCCCCATGCATTTCCTTCTGAAGAGATCCCAGGGAGTTATAATGGGCTACTGCTTTTCTTCCCTGGATGTATACTTGCTCATTTTCACAGGAATTAATTTCCCTGCATTGCACTGATATGAGAACTTTGAAAACACAAAGGAAGGCCAGCTCTAGTGCATAGCACTGATGCCAAATTTAACTTAATGTGAAACTGGATAGAAATTTGGAGCTTCCAACTCAGGAAAAGCATCAAATAAATCTTGAAAGAAATGGAGTTCACCAAAACTAGATGCATCTTTCAAGGAAGGTGGGGGTTTATATCACTAACATACAGAATTGTCTCAAGTTATATTGCCACTCCAGGCCAAAATTAATTTTGCCGCCTATGCTCCATATCATGCTTTTTATTAACGAAGGAGGACTGTGTTCCCCCTTAAGGATTTTCCTTTTCCTTGCTCTGTATGTGAATGGAGCCAACAGAATAAGCAGCAACTGGGAACACTGCAGGGTGAAACCTGCACCAGATTGTTGTTCTGAGATCCTAGGGTAATGCCAATGGTGTTCCACACTTGCGGGTTTTCCAGAGCATCCTGGAACTTCTTGAAGTCCAATTGTCCAGTCACCTATACTACTGGTACTTACTAGGTTGTTCTGCCCTTGTGAATGTAGTATATTAGTATCATATAACCTCATGTCCTGCAAAAACACCTTAAAGACAGAATAACATATTCAACAATCTCTTCTAAACATAAACTCTACTGCAGGGGAGCTTGATGGAGGCAAATGCCCAGCCAGAATAAGTTCTACCCACTCTTTACCCTATTTGTATTTAATTTTTTTTATTTATTTATATATCCCACTTCTCTCCTGCTTAAAGTGGCTTATCACATTCAGTAGTTTCAGTCTTTTCAGACCTAAGACCCATCTCTAGCCCGAACGTGCATCTTGGGGTCTTACATGGTAAAACAAAAACAAAAAACACAGATGTCTGTGTATGGTGGGAGTGCTGCTGTTGCAACCCACCTTTTTGTTAGGTAATGGCCAACAGTGAGCACCAATCAACCAAAATATCAGGTCAGTTTATCCTCTTGGCTAGAGGTGGGATGTTCTCATTTGTGCGCATAAACTAGCTCAGTGGTTTCGGGCAGGAATTATTGAGAAAAAGCAGAGTTAACAGCACCAGCCTAACGATGTCTACTCAGAAGTAAATCCTACTGAATTCTATGAGGCCTACTCCCAGGTTAGTGGAGTGAGGATTGCAGCATAAATAGCCAAGACTAGTCAAGCACTCTGTTGTTTTTCATTACGTTTATCAGATCAAAATGTCAAAAATGAGAGACACTGTGAGCTTGATGTTCTGTAGAGATGTAATTTTCTGAAATATGGAACTCTTCTGGAACAGTGATGTTTTTCATTAAGGGCCATTTCCTTAAAATATGAGATGCCACTAAATTTAAGACACATCTGGTGTTCAGCAAGGAACAAATGGTTTCAGACATGAAATCAGAACAGAGCAGTGTTTTAAAACGGGGACACGAGCTGATTCTGTGTCCTATTTGAAAAATACCTTATGATGCAGTTGTATATCAATAGCTTGTTGCTGCAGCATCGTTGACTTAATAAATAAATAAATAGGTAGAAGTAACTACTCTTCAGAATGTCTATAATGGCCACAGGAGATTTTCCTGAGACACCTACTGCTAGGTCCCATCAGTGCGCCATAGCAACAATGAAATCACAGTCTCTAGGGGGTCATTGGTAAGTGTCTGAATATGTGTCTGAAGTCACTTCTGGTAGGTACCCAAATCTTCAGGAGGATACTGTATTTCTAACAGCTACTTTACATCTTTCTTACTGACATTTCAAAGCCATGCCTTCTTCTCTTCACCCAAACAGATTGTCAGGTGGATGGGGTCAAGAGGGTATAGAATAGACATTTCAGAAGATCATGGATAAGATGGATATTTTACTTGTATCCTAAAAGATATAGGTAGTGTACAATAATTGAAACAGAAATTATGTACATTCTGAGCACCATATTGTTCTTATAGCTTGAAAAAGTATTGGACAATCCTACATACTGTATACGGCTCTTGATATCAACTAGCAATTTTACCATATATGTAATATCTGCTTTTATTCATATAAGCATGAATTATTATACACATGCAAACAATAACATATAAGCTTATAATGATATCACTGAAGGTTTCCTTCATTTTCTTTCTGGGTTTTCATCATGCTTGCTTTTAAGACCAACAGAGTTTTCAGAGCTATTATTCTACATAATTGTTACAGTATAGTAACAATAGTTGCAATCCTGTGCACACTTACTTTTGAGTAAGCTCCCATTGAACTCAATGAAAATTATATTTGGATGAAGAAGAACAGAATTGGGCTGCTGTGATATGAAAGGGGAGGCTGTGACTTTCTTTTGTGTTTTTAAATATGAATTTTTATTAGGTCCCTATGTTTTCCTTTATTTGTGTCATACAGATGGTGAGGGCCATGGTTTAGTGAAAAAACATACACTGAGCTGTTTTTTCACCATCCAGATATGCACATTCTGTTTAATATCACTTTTAGGAAAAGGTCTAGCAACATCATGGCCTTTTGTGCTACAATACTAACACAGGTCATTGTTGCAATGAATTTTACAAACACAAAAGGTATCAAAATGTTACATAAGAACAAAGGGCACTGGAAAGGAAATAGCTTTCTCAACAAGCCAAGTGCACTATGATGGACAATTAAAGAAAATTATCATTGACATAGAGCATGCTACAACACAAAACCAATCTTACCAAGTGTATTTTGTTCTCTCACTGATCAGTATTTCAGCAGTCATAATTTCATACGTATTTAAAGGAAGGATGTGACATCTTTAAACTGGGGTGTACTCATGTATAAACCCTAATAGTAATTATTATTTCATAAGAAAACTCACTTAGGATTGGCATCTCATTGAAACAGATAAACTCTTAGGCCACAATTCTATAAATATCTATCTGGAAAAAGTCCAACTGAACACAATGCGGGGTTACTTCTAATTAGTACTTTTAAGTACAGTGGTACCTCGGGTACCTAATTCGTTCCGGAGGTCCGTTCTTAACCTGAAACTGTTCTTAACCTGAAGCACCACTTTAGCTAATGGGGCCTCCTGCTTCCGCCGCGCCGCCGGAGCACGATTTCTGTTCTCATCCTGAAGCAAAGTTCTTAACCCGAGGTACTATTTTTGAGTTAGCGGAGTCTGTAACCTGAAGCGTATGTAACCTGAAGCATATGTAACTCGAGGTACCACTGTACATATAGAGGACTCCACTGCTTAGCTGATGCCCATGCTACTAACTGCTAAAGAAATATTAGTTGCCAACTTTTAGGAGTGGGGATAAGGTTCTAAATTAGAGCCCTATTAGAGTCTCTAATACCCAAGTGACAAACAAAATTCAACAGGTGAAATATTACATCATTACTACATTTCCATACTAGAAAAAGCTTCAGTTGCTAAACTGATGCTTGTTGTCACGCAACCTTTAAAGATAAAGGAATTCTGACAAATATATTATTATATATTTCTTGCCTTGGATTATGAACAAAACTACTGTACACAGAATTCTGGTTCTTGGGTTGATATTTGCTATTAGCTATCCTTTTTGCCCCATGCTGTCTTCTTCTATATTATATCTACCACATGCATCCAAATATTCAGGTATGTAACTGGTAAAATTTTATTCTGGTCCAATAAAACTCTCCTAAATCAAGAGTTGTCAACGAAGCGCTGTCCAGATATTTGTTGCACTACACTTCCCATCAGTGAAGATCATTTATCATGCTGGCTGAGGCTGATGTGATTTGGAGTCTAACAATACCTGGAGAGCAGAAAGATGGCTGCCCTTGTCCTAAATCATAGTACCACTGAACCATGTCATAAATGATCACAGTAATGTAAAACTACTTGGTACATGATCCAGTGAAGTATTAAATTATTCAGTTCCAGTTGGCTTCCAGTATTAAGCACTCTGGGATTTTCTCAGGAGTAAAACAGTAGTGATGTTAGAAATTAATGTTAACTGTATTATCAGAACTAACATATTGCACACTTGAAGAAAGTTGTAAATCATTCCTGGTTTTGCTCCTTTTTGTCACTGAACAAATAACCCAGCTATTTCACTTTCCAGGTGGCAAAGTTATTTCCTTCTGGTTTGACTTCATCCTTTTTAAAATAAAAATTAAATTTATGCATAACATGGTATTTCACATAAACTTCCCAAATAGGTTTAAGTGTATATTTAATCCCAATAACTCAACAGAGTAATAAGGCACATCACGTTTCAGCCTTTCATATCTCTGTGTGTTTTGATTAAACAGTTCACTTCCAACCACCATACACTTTTCATAAGGTCAAAAGTCAAACCAGATACAGGAGAGAACGTCCAGGAGGAAAACATGTCCCGTCCCCCCCCATTTGACAGTCTATCGCTAACTTACCCCGGCATGGATGTTTAAATATAGAAACGAACATAGCTCCCAATAGAAAGGAGAGAAGCGAGGTCCACCAGTTGCAGGCAATGAAAATGGCACAAACCCGTCAGCATCACTCCCCTGGTATCTTTAACATCATTGCAAGGACAGCAAATCAGCTTGTTATAACCCTATCAGAAAAAAGTGTCCCCCATCGTCAAGGGGCTGGAAGTGCACAACTGAAGGTGGACCACTTTCATCGCCCCCCCCCCTTTATGGGAGGGACAGTAAAAAAAGAAAGCAAGCAACAACGGACCTTAAGCTCCCGTTCAACCATCGCTTTCAATAAACCTGGACAAGTCTCCCCTGTGTAGACTTTTCGATACATCTGAGGAAAAGCAAATTTGCAATGCAGCCCAGCTCCTGTTTTGCCACTGATTTCAGAGGGGAGCTGTGAGGAGTACACTCACCCACCCACCTCCCCTGAGCCTTTTAACTCCCCACAAAAACAAAACTTTCCTCACTTCTATCCGACAAGGCTTCATCTTCCCCACACCCACTCCAAGCCTTAGTCACATTTATTTCCGAGGGGAGGGCTGCCCCCCACCGCGACCCTACGAGTTTGACCCTCGACGACCGACAGAAAGTGCACGAGAGGCTGTGTCAGGCTGCACGTTGAAGGAGCCTCCTCCTCAGGCAGGGCTGTTTCTGCAACCGTCGCCCCCCCCCCCCCCGCAGCAGCAGCAGCCCCGTTTCGCGAGGAGACAAGATACTGGTGCAGTAATAAAGCAGACAGAGCTGACAGACTCTGCGAAATAGGGGGAGTGGGGGGCCTGACGGGGCGAAGGGCGCCGCACCGTACCTCGTTTGAGTCCCTGCCGGCGGGCGGGCGGGCTTTCTTCTGGAGACGGCGCTCTTTCCCCCTCGCCTCTTTGCTCCGCAGCAGCACCACCACCAGCCGCGAGTGTTTGGCAGAGAGCAGAGGGCTGCCAGGCTTTGCCGTTACTACCGCGAGGAGCCCCGGATCAGCGCCGTCGCCATGGCAACCTGCCCGCTGCCGCCAGCGACGCTGACGGGAGGGGGTGGGTGGGGGGTAGGCGGCCTTTCGCCATTCATTGAAGAAACGTCCTCCCGCTCCCTCCGCCTCAGCCCAGCCCTCAAAACAGGGCGAGAGAGGAGGCGGAGGTAACGGTCGTCGTCCTCCCCCCCCCCGCGCCCGTTATATATTGTCGTACACAAGCACCTCACACGACCGTTTGAAACGCTCCTCCCCCCCCCCAACGACTTTCCCTCCTGTACTTTGTCCAGCAGGTGCCGGGAAGCAGCCGCTTCATGAGGCAGAGGGTGGGGGGAAACGACCGCCCTCTCCCGCCACGCTCTCCAAACGCTTCCCAGTGATGGGGAAGAGAGAGGACTTGTCGTTCAACCCCAGAAGTATCGGCTTGTCGTTTCCCCGGCCCCAAAGGCTAGGCAAGGTCACATCTTGACAAGCAGTGTGAAAAATGAAGGTGACTGGAGGTGCCCTAAGGACCCAAACAGCCAATGCTGCGGAGTTCAGTTGTTTTCCTCGCCATGTGTTTGTGTTTAGCTTTATCTGTTGTTGTTGTTGTTGTTGTTGTTGTTGTTGTTGTTGTTGTTGTTGTTGTTTTGGTGCTCTCTATCTGATTACAACCCACAGCCCAGGGTGGTGAGCCAGAACGTCACTATGTAGAGCCATGATATACCTTATTTTGTTTTTTTGGAGGGGCACCCCACTTCTCACATAGGCTTCAAAGCGCCTTCCAATCAAACAATTCATCCTAATGTAAATGGCACCTTCTGCTGTAAAAGCTTCGAGGCACCTGGTTCTGCTTGCTTTCAATATATTCTTTTGGTTGGGTTCTCTCACCCCCCGTTCAACCTACTCTGCTGTCGACTTCATGTGCTGATAACGGAGTGTCTCCAGATACTGCAATCCCAACCGTGCCAATTTCATCAGTTTATGCTTCTACTTAGTTCCTCAAGGGTTCCCACGCACTTTTTATTGTATTTATTTAACCTGCATACCGCCCTATACCGGCAAGTGTCACATACCCGCAGTTTTAACATATCTCAAGCAAGATCAGCTGCTATTAAAATCACATATATTTTAGCAGAGTGGACGAATCAATTCTTCCTCTCCCACCCCACCCCCTTTACTCTGCAGACCATGTAAGACCATGATAGGGAAGTATGTTCCCTGGCGCACAGGCACCAACTCCACGGGGCCGAAATACCTTCGGCCCCCGCAATAAAATTCAGTGCCCGTTGCGCCTCTCTTTGTGCTCTGCCCGGAGCAGCCAAGAGGTTCCTGCCGCTCGGCTCTGCAAGGGTTAACAGCAGCAGAAGAGTTGCCGTTCCTAGAGCGGAAGAGAAGGCTGCGAGAGAGGAGCTTCTCTGCTCATTCCCCCGGGGGAGATGCTTTCCTTGGCTGCGTCTGTCCTTCCTCGCAGAGGCGCTGGAGGTGGGGTGGGGGTAGGGACCTGCCTTAAGAAGCACCATGAGAGCTTAACTTTTTTTCCAAAGACACCCTAGCCCAGGCTCTTAACCACTAAATAGTTAAGCTCTGTATATGGTTTACTCTGCTAATTAATCCAGGATGTAACTCTTCTGGTTTCACACTCACAGCCACTAACTTGAATTACTGCACTCCACCCAGAAGCATTCCAGTATGCCAAGTGGTTACAGTATGTTAAAGTGCATACTACTCTATATTAAGGGACCTTAAGTGGGCACTCTGGATATTTTAGGAGGAAAAAGTGTCTTACCTGTCAAATTCACTGGGATGCACCAGGGGGCAAATTCTTCATCATCAGTCACTTCACTGTCAGCCCTGTGCTATAGTATTTATTAAGGGATTCCCCGCCTCCCCTTCGCAACCACCAACATTTTCTAGCAGCAGCTACTGATGAGTAAGCACTTTTATTTACATAAGCAAACAAATGAATCAGTTCCCTCCTCCTATGCTCCCTTTCCAAGCAGGTAGGTTCATTTCCACACACACACACACACACACACACACACAAATTTTTGAGACTACAGGATGCCCATTCAAGAACATTTTATAAAGATCTCATAATGTGCTCCACTAATTTATAAAGATCTCACAATGTGCTTTACTAATTTGTACAGGAGATCAGAGTCATATAAGGGCAATAAAAAGCCAGACATTTTCACTTCAAGTGTAACCCAAAGTGTCTCCTGAGTTATTTGTGCTTTTCCGTCAGGTATCTTCCTTTTACCTAATTTTATTGCTCTTTAGTTGCACGCGGAGTATATTTTTTCTTCTTCGGTCTTTAGTTTCCTCCTCACCGTTGCTTAATTTTATGCTGGCAGCTACATATCAGGATCTGGTCTGTTTGATTCCCTTCCCCCTTGCTTCTTCTCTCCAAAATAGAGGTTGATAATAATCCTTTGAGGAAGATTGATACCTCTCTCTCCTGCATCCTTTGCTTATATTGATGAACTGCTCTCTCAGCATTGTACTGATCAGAGTGGGAAGAAAAGGAACACACACACTACACAACTCTCAAGGTGCATTATAAATCTTAGCTGCTGCTGTCACTGAACTCAGTTACTGGTGGGGACTGTTAAGTAGGAGCATTTCAAGTCACTGCAGAGGAATTGATTCTTTGCCAAAAGCTGCTTGTGGACTGTAGATTATGCATTCCTTCAGTGCATGTGGCCAAAATAAGGAATGTTCCACATGCCCTCTAGACGGCAGCTGGCTTAGAACAAAACTTTTGGCATATTACAAAAGAAGGAACAGCCTGAAAGATACCTGTAAGTGGCAGTAGCCAGGGTGAGTAGGGGAGCTGCAGCGAGGAAGGCGATCCTACTCAATAAGGATACCTTACCAGCTGTCAGAATGGGAAGAAACTTATTATTCAACTAACTAAAGTCCGATCGTAATGAAAGGTGAACATATGGGCAAAGAGAGAGAGAATCTATGAGATTCCCTCTACTCAAAAAGGGAATTAGCAGAATGAATATAAGCTGCACCCGAATGCAAGCCACACCTTTAAAATTTGAGGGGGGGTGGGAGAAAAAAAAGAAAAAACACCTGAATATAAGCTGCTCCATTCCTCACTGCTCGGGGGGGGGGGGGCGCACTGTGTTGCCAGCAGCCTTTCCCCTTTCTTGCTCACTCCCTTCCTGGCCTTGTGGGAGAGGCCGGGGAGCTACATATGGGGTGGGCGCCGCTTTGCCACACTCCTGGTACTGTTTGCCCACGCTCCTGGCTGGATACTGTAAGGTCATGAATATAAGCCACACTTTAACTTTTCACAGTCGGAATTTGGGGGGAAAGTGAAGCTTATATTCAGGCCAATACGGTACTAGAGGAAAAAACATAGAATGTTTATACTGTGGGCACTTCCATATTTGACCCTACCCCATAATAGTGATGATTGTTATAATTAATTTCATTTCTATACCATATTTTTAATTAAAAAACTCAAAGTGGTTTACAACCTATATTAAAACATCAAATAAAACAATCCAGAATTGAACATTACTAAAGAAAGTTAAGTATACATTCAAAGCAATAATTAAGAATCATATACCAGCAAATTCAGGTTACCTAATTTAAATTAATTTGGAGCTCTTGTGCAGCTACCATATTTTTTGCCCTATAGGACGCACTGTCCCATAAGGCGCACCTAGTTTTTTGGGGGGGAAATAAAGGGGGGGAAAATTATTTCCCTCCCAGGCGCAGGGCTGGGGCGGGGGAAGCCCGAGCTTCCCCTGACCCCAGCCCCCAGAACAGGCAACTCTCCGCAAGCCGTGGGAGCCCAGCGCCGGGCTCCCGCGCCTTGCGGAGAGCTGCGCGAAGTCTGGGCGTGCTGAGTTCAGCGCTTCCAGGCTTCAGCATGCAGGCAACTCTCCGCAAGCCTGGAAAGCGAGAGGGGTCGGTGCGCACCGACCCCTCTCGCTCGCCAGGCTTCAGCGAAAGCCTGCATTCGCCCCATAGGACGCACACACATTTCCCCTTCATTTTTGGAGGGGAAAAAGTGCGTCCTATAGGGCAAAAAATACGGTAACTCACTTTTTATATAAGGAAAATGAAAAGCTGCAATAGCCAGGCGACCCTGGTAATGGCAAGCTAAGTATGGGTCACTAAGGTAACAAAGGGAGTGACTCTGTGCCAGAGAACAAATGGATAGGCCTCCCTCTCTCAATTCTCTGGTAGTTAGGAAGACAGAATGGCCAGAGTGGAGAGCTCAGTTACACAAACTAAAATTGAGCTCTTCAAATTGTGTGTCACGACATGTTAGCGTGTGTAGGTGTGCCGCATGAATGCTCCCCATGGGACTGGTGTCAGGGGTTCAGGGACAGAGGCACAGGGTAGGCAGGAGATGGAGAGTGATGGGGATGAATCCCAGGACAGCGAGGAAGAGGATGACAATGACTCAAGAGATTCCATGAGTCTTTCCAGCGAATCAGAGGATTCCCAGAAGGGGGGCGCCGGTGGTCAAGGCCAGGGGAGCCCCAGGGGGGACGTGTCAGGAGCAGGGGGCCAGCAGGGGATCCCAAAGTGGCAGATTGGCGTCAGGTCCAGCCTCGCCGCCAGTGTGCAGGGTAGGGAGTGGAGTTTCCAGTGTATCAGGGAAGCAGCTCCGGCAGCAGAGAAGGGAGGGAGGTCGGAGCAAGCCACCCTCCCGGAAGGGGAGGGAGTAGTGAAGGGAGTAGTGTAACTGTCAAAAGGAAGGTTAGAGGTGGGGCGCGCGCGCAAGGTTCAAAGGTGGAGGCGCGCGGACGAACAGGGAGCCCGGAGGAGGACCCTGGTCCCAACGCCCCCCGGAGGGGGGGAAGAGCAATCTGGAGATTCCGCCTCAGGGGAATCCAGGGGGGCAGGAAGACCCTGCGGAAAAGGAAAGAGAGAAAGAGGTGGAGCAGCGCAAGCTTCTTAAACTGGTGCAGGGGAGGGACTGACTCAGAGGGGACTTCAACGGTCTAAGCGTAACAGACGTGGGGCTGCGCGCCTCGGATGTGAAGCAAACAATGGATTCCAATAAACACTTTTGTATATAAGAAGAGATTGGCGTTGGTCTTTTGTGAGCTGAGACCTGAGGCAGCCTTGACAACTGGAAAGGGGTTTGTTTAACCTCCAGTTTCCTAGTAAAACTGAATTACCGTGTTGCGAAATGAGGCACGTCTAAAAGTGTGGAGAACTCTGAGCTAGAAGCTGGAAGCAAAGCCGCAGCCTGGAAAGGCAGAGGGAGAGCCAGGCCTGATCTCTGCTGGGATCCAAGGCTGTGGGTGAAGCAAGACCTTATTGGGGTGTTAATGCTGTGAACCCTTCCATTGCAGGCTCATGTTGCATATGTGTGTAAATAAACCATATACTGTAAAATAAGCTGCATTTAAGTAACATGTTAACGAAGTGCATATTCATTTAAATCAGGGGTCGGCAAAATTGTTTAGCCGCGGGCCTGTCCACTGTCCCCCAGACCTTGTGGCGGGCTGGAGAAGCGGCATGGGGGGAGAGCTGGAAGAAGAGGCAAGAGGGGGCAAGTAGTTCTCCTCTCCAGCCTCCAGCCCCAGCTGCTGTGCTTACCTTCCCTGGGGCTCCCGCCGCCACCACCACCACTACCACCGCTGCTTCTTTTTGTGGGTAGGCAGAGTGAGCTCACAGGAGCACCAGGGCGGCAGCGGTGGAGGAAAAATGAGCAGCACGAAAGGGCTGGCTCCAGAGAGGGGCTGCTTAAAATGGCACTCATCGAGCTCAGCCCAGCCCCCTTCCTCCTCTAGGCAGGGCAGGCAAAAGCCAGGAGGAGGGAGGGAGGAGGTGTCGCTGTGGTGTGTGTGAGGGGGGGGGAAATGGAATGGTGCAGGGGGGGGAATGGTGCAGCCCGAACAAACAGTATCCCCACACCGATCCACGGACGGTCCGTGGGCTGGATCCTGAAGGCAATTGGACCTGATCCAGCCTGCGGGCCTTAGTTTGCTGACCTCTCATTTAAATAGACAGCAGTATATTCAAGTAACCACATAAGCTTGTGTAACTACATTAATAAATAAACATTGATTTCTTTATCATATAAAGTAACTATATCTGGCTGGCTTATATCCCACAGTTACCAGTGATATTAAATGCTGGCTGCAGTACATTTTTAGAGAGAAAAAACAAAACACTGGAGGGTGGGAAGTTGAGTTTTCTTAATAAAATAAGTAAGGGGGGGGGAACCCTCTCCTGCCACAAGGACTCAGCATGTTCAGTGCTCAAGGTCACAAAATGCTGACTCATTGTGTATGGTGTGTCTCTGTGTTTGTAAAAAAACCAGGAGGAAGAGGGAATGGATATCCTGAACAAGAGCACTCTGTAGGTGCCACATGTGACATCTGTAAGGCAGTGAGGCTAGATACAAACTCAATAGGAGGCTCATTTGCATAAATTTCATTCCACAGAGGTCGAAATAGAGTCGAACTGTCTGCAAGCTGAGGACACTTCTGTCTGGCTAGATCTACTGAGAGGAAAGGCAATCTTGGAGTCTGCACTATTAAAAGCATTTTCTTTTCACACAAGACCCACAGTATTTGTCTGCTTATGTGATTGTTCTTAACAGTGTTAGAAAGCCGAAGAGAAGAAATGTAGGAAGATTACAAATTGGATAGTAAAGCAAGGCCCAGCTGCTTACCCATTTGGGATGTATTTGCCTTACATCTTTTCTTAGGGCTGCGCTCCCAGGGCTGCACATTGCCCAAACTGTGGATTATCAGCAAGCAAATAAGGGCATCAGAAGGGATTCTGATTGTCAGTGGCTGTGGGTTTTAATATGTAAATCATTTCCTAATTTATATTAGGCTACAGTAGTATCTTTTGACTACCGGTATCTATTTTGCTTTCAACATAAAATAGTAAATTGTTTCCCTTCTAGCTGTTCCCTGGTCCAAAAAAGGTTGTGCAATAATTAACTGAAATCAGGTCAAATTTGTGGGGCAGATGGATTATAGTAGAACGATAGGTGGGTTCTTATGTATGCGTCTAGAAGACTTCTAGAATAAATGTGTTGGGTAAATTACTGTGGAATTCTCCTAGAAATTGGCTGTACCACAATGAATTATCCCAATTCAGCTGTTAGCAACTAGTCAGACATAACCAGTGGTGGCCCGTGATGCATATATCATCCCCATTCACCTCAAAAGACTCATCCTACCACTTCAAGAAGGGCCCTAATGGCATTGCAATGTATTTTCAGATCCACACTGGCAGCACAAGGGGAAGACTTCTAATGCATGCAGATTTCTCTTCCTGCACCTGGGCAAATGTGTTTATTTCTGGATGCTCTGTTCCTTTAAAGATAAGACTTAAACAGAAGCAATCAACAGGCAGGAAGAAAAGGTACTTTTGGGGGAAAGTATTTTATCTGACCTCCAAAATTACTAAACAATCAATTTTTCCTAATTTGACACTTGCCTTAACTATCCTTAGATCTGAGTCCAG